CTCACTCTCGCTCGAGCGACCAACTCCTCGCTCGAGCGAAGGTCCAAAATTCTAGGCAGCAACACTAGGCTCCCGAACACAACCAACCTGTAACAAACCTGCGTAACACATCCTATAACTCAAATACAACGTAAGAAAGGATGTAAACAAGATAATAATCAACTACCAACATCCACGGACACATGTCCGGATCACTGTTCAACAAGGGTAAACCCGGGATCGCTATACAACTTGCCTCACTAATAAATATGATATGCCATTTGCTCCGTTTGTAGGAGTTAACCACCATGGACAGTCGATTTTGCTTGGTTGTGGTCTATTATCTAGTGAAGACACTGATACATTTGTTTGGCTATTCAAATCATGGTTAAATTGCATGTCAGATCATCCTCCAAAAGCTATAATAACTAATCAGTGCAAAGCTATGCAAAAGGCTATAGAAATAGTCTTCCCCAATACTCGACATCGATGGTGTTTATGGCATATCATGAAGAAGATTCCAGAGAAGTTGAAAGGGTATTTCCAATATGAATCCATGAAGATGGATTTGCAAAATGCAGTCTATGACACTTTCACAAAAGATGAATTTGAGATGAAATGGAAAGAGATGATTGCAAAATTCAATCTTTATGAGAATCAGTGGTTGGGGGTGTTATATGATGAGCGACATCGATGGGTTTCTGTCTATGTCAAAGATATTTTTTGGGTTGGCATGTCAACGACACAACGAAGTGAAAGCATGAATGCCTTTTTTGATGGATATGTCAACCCAAAGACTACATTAAAACAATTTGTTGAACAATATGACAATGCCTTGAGAAGTAAGGTAGAGAAAGAGAAGAAAGCTGACTTCAAGTCTCAGCACAAAGTCTTTGATTGCCTAACTGTATATGGTTTTGAGAAACAATTTCAAGATGCGTACACCAATGCAAAATTCAAAGAAGTTCAAGCTGAGATGAAGAGGCTAGTTTATTGTCAACCGTTTCTTGTCAAAGAAGAGGGTTCAATTTATACATATTTTGTGAAGGAAGCCGTGGTAGTTTTTGGGAAGATGAAACATGTGGACTTTGTTGTCTATTCTAATTCGACAGAATTTGATGTGCAATGTATGTGCCGGTTGTTTGAATTTAGGGGCATCATGTGTGCTCACTCACTCGTTGTGCTCATTGCAAGATGCATAAATGAGGTTCCAAATAAATACATTCTACCACGATGGAGAAAAAATTTGGATAGAGGGTACACATGCATAAAAACCACATACATTGGCTTTGGGGATGATTTCAATGCAAAGGTGTATGATAAAATGAATAGAAAATTGATTGGCATTGTACAATTTGCTGGAAACTCTGAAGGGAAAATAAAACTTATTGACCGTGAGTTGGATGAAATCAAGGCGAAAGTGATGAAAGATGATGAAGGTGGTGGGAGTAATGTAGCAACTTCGACTAGTAATGTACCACCTATTACTAGTAATGTCCCATCTTCCCCGATTGGCAGCATTAATAGAAAGGCAATCAGTCATACCAAGTTGCTTAGTTCTTTGGTTGCTCGCCGAAAAGGTCGTCCAGTTACTAAAAGAAAGGTCGCCAAAGTAGATCAAATAGTCAATCGGTTGAAGGCAAGCAAAATAAAACATAACAAATCAAAGGTAAATTGATTGGTTTTCATACATATCCATCCGTTTTGTATCATTACTCTCTATTCAACTCATATTTTATTGTAATCATGTCATACATTTGAGCCATTCATTAACCTTTGTCAATATAGGGTACTAAGATGATTGGAGGTGAAGGTGAAGGTCAATGTCAATCTCAACCTAAACGTAGTGCACGTAGAGAGCTTTATCCTTATATGGTTGGCATGGAAAATAGTATGTGTGTGCCGGTACGTGTACATCAAGCAAACTGTTTTTCAATAATGTTTAGCAAACTGGTTTTAACATTACATTTTAATTGAATAGGGACACATGGTCAATGCTATTGGAGGCACATCTCTCACCCCGGCAAGTGTGGACATTATGAGAGGACAAAGTTTTATTAATGCCCCAACTCAAATTTATGGAGTTGGCACATCTCTAACCCCGTCAAACTGTATTGGAGGCACACTGGGATTTATGACAACTCAACAATCCATGGTTGCTACGCATCAAATTTATTGAGCCGTACCGTCTTCATTTGTTGACTAGAATGTACAAATGGACCGCAATGACTATGGTGGTAGTTTTCGTTAGTTGGAAACTTGTAATTGTAATGCCTTTTATGTGACTAAACTTGGACTTTATTTTGTTTTGAATAGTTTATTTAATGTATTTTTGGTTAAGAACAAATTGATGTTGTTCCCTACTTTGTTGTTATAGTTAATGTTCCCAATTGATGTTATATTTGTACTCTATCTATTACAGATTTAATGTGTTCTTCGAAAAAATCTGTCCCATAAATGTGTTCCAAATCTGTGTGAAAAATCTATTACAAATCTGTTCTAAAATTATGTCTGCAAATCTGTCTTCAAAAACCTGTGTGGTAAAATCTGTCTTCAAAAATGTGTGGAAAAAACCTGTCTTCGAATCTGTCTTGAAAAATCAGTGTGAAAAAAATGTCTTCAAAACTGTGTGAAAAACCAGTGTTCAAAAAAGCTGTCTTGAAAAACCTGTGGAAAAATCTATCTTCAAAACTGTGTGAAAAAAACCTGTCTTTGAATCTGTCTTGAAAAACCTGTGTGAAAAAAGTCTTTAAAACTGTGTCAAAAATCAGTGTTCAAATCTATGTTGAAAATCTGTCTTCAAACCAGTGTTCAAATCTGTGTTGAAAACTAGTGTTCAAACTGTGTCAAAAACCAGTGTGCAAATCTGTGAAGCACCTGTGTTCAAATAGACAATTACATCTTCATACATAATGTGTTCAAAAACAGACAAACAGTCCAAAATCTGTCCGCAATCAGTCCAAAATCTGTCCCAAATATGTGTTCAAACACACAAACAAATAACTTTTCATAATAATCAGTCCAAAATCAGCCCAAAATCTGTCAAAAATATGTCCAAAATGTGTTCAAACACACAAACAAATCACTTTTCATAATAACCAGTCCAAAATCTGTCCAAAATCAACCCAAAATATGTCCAAAATGTGTCCAAAATCAGCACAAAATGTCTCCAAAATCAGTCCAAAATCTGTTCATAATATGTGTTCAAACAGACAAACAAATAACTTTCAAAGTTCCAATCAGATAACAAACAATCGACATGATTACATATTCATACTTCTCAATCCATAATTGTAATATATCATAAATCTTCATACATATCATCTTCATAATTAATACAACACCAATTACATGTTCTAACTTCTATAAAAATTAATACATCTTCATAATTAATGTAACACCAATTACAAGCAAGATGAAGATCCCATTAATACAACACGAATTTCTATTTATGCCTCTTTGCAAGTTTTGCATCTGCACGTTCTGAAATTGAAGTTGTTCGCTTTGAAATCGAAGATGTTCGCCCATACTTTGAAGTTGTTCAGTGACAGTTGGTGTATTGTCCATTCGCACTTGCCCTTCCTCTCTACGTTGTGAATTTGTAGGCAAGCACCATCCAATAAACCCACTGCAATCCGGACAACAATAAAAAAGCTTGTTCTTGTTTGGTTCCGTCTCCGAAATTAGAATAATTGCTTTTTTCCGACATTGAGGACAATTTCTGTTGCAAAATGTCAATTGATCTGATGTACTGCCGTTAACGCTTGAAGTTGACATCTGCAAAAATATGAATCAAAATCTCAATCAGTTAGTGTATTAGTCTTAGGACTGTTTAACTTGCTAGAAACAAAGGTGGTTCCTTGAAGGCTAGGGGTGGCCACTGTTTGGGCCATAGGTTATGTCCAATCAGCATGATTATAACATCATGCTGGGCATGCACTTTTAAATGCAATTGGTCTTCTGTGTAGTGGTTGTGAGATGAGCTGTTGAAATATGTCTCAAATTCCCTTGAAGTTGGGTTTAGTAGATATTATTATTCCTCATCTACCAATAAAGTTAACTAGAACTCTATAAATAGGTAACCAGAGAGACATGGAATTTATTGCTGTAAGTTGGAATTTATTCCAGAACTTGTGGAAAATTTTAAATCATGTAAATAATTCAATCAACACAATCATGTTTATGCTACAAATTCTTAAGTTTAGTGTCTTCTATTCTTGCTGTTCTCATACTTTTTTAATAATTAAAATTTTATTAGAACGGTTTAGTAGTTTTTTCATAACTGGTGTACTTAACTATACTATTAAAAAGTGAACAACTTAAGTGCATTCAAAGCTATGGCCTTGATATGTCATATGTGATATCAGTTATTAGTTGAAGTGTTAGTTCACCCAAAGAAATCAGAGTACTGACCTCTACAAGGGCCACATTCTACATATTCTTGGTGAAACCTAGAATATGAACCAAACCCTGATTGGCTTGTTTTGGCTCTGTTCATCGGTGCTTTTGTTTTGCTCCCAGTTCAAAGTTTTAGACTTCAAAAAAAAAAAAAAAGACTGTTTGGCTATGTATTGCAGGGTCAGCTTACTCGAGGTCCCAAACCAAACTGAATATACATATACACACACATATATCTTACTCAAGTAAATAAGGTAAAATCTATACAGAAGTAAGGCTAAACCTTCTAATAGATTAATAGGATTTTAAGTTAATGGTTAAGTGTACATGTGCCTAATAATGTTGACTATTGACTCCAGTAGTTTATAGGTTGGCATGTCCCTCTGGTTTGTACATTAAAGACTTGTTTAAGGCATAGCATCTTGCCAAAATAAAAAAAAAAAATTAAATACTAAAAGCTCGAAACAATTAACAATACAGGGCTTGTATTATTTTCTGTTTACCAGTTATGCATGATAATTCCTTCATCCCTTTTATAAAAAGAGAAAAAACCATTATTGTAATATTACTATTTCCAAGAACCTTATTCTTCACCCACACATATTTTTAATTAATATATATGATAAAGAATAAAACAAACACTTGGGTCATGCTTGCTGAATAAATTTGGGTGGAATTGGATTTATAATCCATGAGATTCATCAATTTGGTGTTTAGTTTATTATAGGAAGTACTTACTTGATTGTAACCATTAATCCCATATGCTTGCAAATCTAAAAAAATCTCATATGCATGGGATAAATAATTTGAGAATATTGAGAATTGTTGAAATTATCTAGACACTCAATCAAATGACAATAAATGTTTATATTAGGTGAGGTTCAACTGTCCAATGCGGAAAGAAAAATAGCATGCAGTTGATATGTTCCCAAATGGGAACTCAGAAAATGGAGAACTTAAGTGCATTCAAAGCTATGGCCTTGGTACATATACCCACACATATATCTTACTCAAGTAAAGAAGATACAATCTATACAGAAGTAAGAGCTTCTTTAATATAATATAATTTTGTAGTTATTGTTTATTGAATTATATATGTTTGGCTAAGCATGATTAGAAATTTACAACTACACAGATGCTTTATAGAATCTTGTTTTCTTTGGGACATTTGACTTGTTTGTTATAATTTTCATCATAGTCATATTCCTTCATTTTGTAAGGAATCAAAGACTTTAGAAACTTATTAAAATGGTTACCTAAACATAGGTATGTATTCAAGAATTTTTTTTAACAGTTTGGCAAATGGGTTTTCTTTATTTTCTCTGTTTTTTAGAACAAAAATCAGTTTTCAATAACAATACCCAAGTTGACGCTTAGTTTAGTCACCATAGAATGATAGATTGGGTATGGATCTAGCTTTGACATTCCCTTTGATTCTAACCCACTACTTCAAAATTGGTAAACAAGAGTTTGGCTCATTCTAAGAACTGTTTAGAAAACTGAATTTAAAAATAACTAGTACGCAAGACGACAATGTAAAAGTAAAATTAAGGAGCGTGGTTTTTGTTGGAAATTTGAACTCCTGAACATAGGTGGAAGAAAACACAAACCAAGAGTAAAAAAAGTGGAGAAATTATGTGGTTTGTCAATATCTTGCAAGATCACTGACTAGTCAATATTTGTGATTTGCGATTACAGTCTCTCCAATAAACTCAATTGCCCAAAGATTTCAATACAATACATAATGACTCTAACCCATCAATCCAAAAAATGAGGTAACCCATTACAAACAAACTTTAGACTGTTCTTTTTCCTCTAAACAAACTGACTTCAATTGAAATGTGTTGTAAATTTTTTTTTCAATTAAAGTTGAAATGTGTTGAAATGTTCTTTTTCCTCCACACAAATTTTTTTTGAATTTGACAAACCTTAGGGTCACTGTTCTCTCAATAAGTTGCACAGAAAAAAAAAAAATTAAAGTTGAAAATCAGGGCGTATGTTGAAAGAACTCGTTTACCAATCTTGAAAAAATCAGGGCGTATGTTGAAAAAAAATTAAAGTTGAAAATCAGGGTCACTGTTCTTTTTCATTGAAGCATTCAAGAAAAATTAAAGTTAAAATTATTTTTTTTTCTGTCCAAAATCACTCCAAAACCAGTCCAAAATCTGTCCAAAATCAAAATCAAATTCGTCCTAAACAGATGAAATCAAAGTGAAAGACACAAATCAGGGGATATAGATATAGATATATACATAGATATAAATCAGGGCATGAAATCAAAGTAAAAAATCTCAACAAATCAGGGAGTATAGATATAGATATATAAATATATATATATATAGAGAGAGAGAGAGAGAGAGAACTGACCTGTGCAGACAGATCTGTGAAGACGGAGAGAGACTCGGTCGTCGTCGGTCGTCTTCAGAAGCTGCGCTCGTCGTTCTCGTGAGAAGTTGCGCTCGTCGGGGTTGTAGAAGCTGCGTTCGTCGGGAGCTCGTCGACAAAGAGGCACAGCAGAGAAGAGAAGAGAAGGAAGAATAGAGAGAGAGAGAGAGAGTCTTCAAATGTTTTGTGCAAATGAATTTGAAATTTGAAATGAATAAGAAAGAGGGAGAAACGGGCGAGTTTGCCTCAGCTTTCCACGTTGGCAGCCACGTCATTAGTACCGATTTAGTGATCACGTTTTAGAGGTCGGAAGCATTTTCGAATTCTATATATATCTGTTTATAGACCCCAAAAATTCTTTCAATTTTTTAAAGACCAAGAAAAATATCTCCTGATACAAAGGCCCAGCAAAAAATATTCTTCATTTGGCTGAAGGCTCCAATAGTAAATGTCATAGACGCACTAAATTTTGCATACAAAATAAAATATAAAAAGTTAATAAATATTTAAATATTAAAGAAGCCTCTTATTGAGATTTTGCTTTCCCCACAGTAATGGAGCATGGTATAAAGACCTTGGGTGTGACACTTGGACAGACGTGCATGGTGGGTCAGGTTCACAAGTCAAACATATAATCCTAACTTCCATGGGGACACAAGGTTGGCAAGTTTCATAATGATGAAGTTTGGGACTTGGGCATATGCAAGGTGTTGCAGACATTCAGTTGAAATGGAACATGTGAACTGTATACTTGTTCATTGAAGGCTGACATGTATAGACCTATATGCTGACAAGTAATGCACACATCATCACATACATGTCTATGACATATGCTACGTCGAGTACCTATAACACCTGTCGAGTACCTATAACACCCAGCGAGATGCCTCTTAATTTCAAAAGTAATGCAACTGCTGCATCATGTAATTTTCCATTAAGTATTATACAGTAAACAAAAAAATGAACATGCCTTGCTAGCAATGTTGTTAGAAAGCCAATCCAGCCCTTCATAGAGCCCTTCTCCAGAGGTTGCACATGTGCTCTGGATGTACCTGAAACAAACCAACAAGTCAAATCAGCACAAATTCAAGTAATTGTTTAATTTGTTTGAAATTAAAATTATTTTGGAAACCATTTACGTGCATTTTCAAGAAACATAGCCTTTGCAACAGTAATTATTTAATCAATCTGGTCTAACCATCATCAGAGGTGAAACCCACATTTGGGCGAAGTTCTCAACCATGTGTCCAACTTAACTATTAACCATACTGCTTAAGATATGGCAATGCTTCTCCCAAACATTGTGGAGTTGAGATTAGTTTATACACCAGTGCTATAAACAAATCGAAAATTTACCAGTGGCGCTGTCGGAGAGAATGAAGACCAAGCTTGTCGGTTATTTCTGCAGCATTCATTGCATTAGGAAGATCTTGTTTGTTAGCAAACACAAGCAAAACAGCATCTCTCAACTCATCCTGCAATCAGAATAACGCACAATTCAAAATGAAACAACCAAAAAAATCTGAGCTACTGATCCCTTCTCCTGCACAACCAAGATAACAAAAATTAACTGTGTAAAAGATAGACATAATTTTCAGCTTACAGGGACCTGCATAACTAAAAAATTCGGCAGGACAAACAACAAAGACAATGGCATATACTATCCATAAATCAACACTTGAATCAAACAAATCAATGATCAACAAATATAAAATTACAATAAGGGAAAACAAATTCTAGGACTAATATTTAATATAATAGTTCTCCCAGTGTAAATCTCATGGAAGGGGACTAAACATATAACCAGGAAAGTATGATCTACAGAGGAAAATGACCATGCAACAAATAATATGGAACATACTAAAAGAATTAGATGTCATAGATGCCAAATGGCACCAGCTACCAATCAATTGTGCAGATCAGCAAAATGTCATTTACAAAACCATCCATTCCAATATAACTGAATGTAATACAACACAATAATCAAAGGCTACCTCATTCAACATCCTATGCAATTCATCCCTAGCCTCAACAACTCGATCCCTGTCATTGCTATCCACCACAAATATAAGTCCCTGTGTATTCTGGAAGTAATGCCTCCACAATGGACGGATCTGTATCAAAACAAAACCACATTAGTCAAGCATTATAAGAGCACAATCACAAAAAGAAGAAAATCATCACAACATGATAAAACCAAAATTACAGCTCCAAACCGATTGTTACATCCATAAAATAAATTATAAGAAATACCAGAACACAAAGAAGATCTCTTGATTGATGATTAGAATAAGATACTAAAATGCCATACATGTAGGGCTACGCTACATAATATACGTAAGTGACCAGTTGAACAATAAGAAAACCAACCAGTATTTACTTCAAAAAATATATATATTTAAAAAGCCAGTTACAGTGTATATACGAACGCTGTTAACATAATACTCCTATTTGGTTCCTTCGCTGATCGCATATTACGCATTAGAGGCTAAAAATAATATTCTAAGATTAAGTATCCGATGACTTGTTGGTCTAGTGTATTGGATGACATTTAAAATCTCGGCCTTAAGAGGCTAAGGGCTCAAAACTTGAGTTATGTAATTTACAGGGAGAACCATATATTGAATTTACATTCATGGCCAAGGGCCCAGATCTTGCAAATTTGCTCTCGTTAGACACCTATTTTACAATTTTTTTTAAATGCTTTCAAAGCATTTCATAATACTACCACTAGTGCCAGGTGAAAGCCAAATTGATTTGCTAGGCACTCATTTTGCATCACAAAAATGCTTTTACAAGATTAACGAATAACACAATTATTTTACCAAATGAAGGAAAACCCAATCTTTCCCAAATAATTCTAATAAATTCAATTTTTTTTCAAAAAAACAAAAAAGATGATAACACAACATTCTCAAAACTATGATTTTTCATTCTGAAAACTCAAAGTAATTCATATATAATGAGATTCAACTATAATATTCACAATTTTTCAATGTCAGAAAATTTATAACCAAGTTACCATTGTAATTATCTTGGTGCACTAACCTAGGTTCAAACCAAAAACTGCATAAAAAGAACAAGATGTCCAGAACTTCAAAATTGGTGACAATGTCACTCAATAAACACTTGAGCCTAAAAAATATGCATACCTTGTCCTGACCACCAACATCCCAAACTGTGAAGCTAATGTTCTTGTACTCCACTGTCTCAACGTTGAATCCTACAAGAAACAAGACTCTTTTAAAGTCACAATGAAAGATGGGAAAAAAATAATGGCACCTTCGTTAACCAGATGTTAACTGCTAAAAAAATTCAATAATGAGCAATGATGAACTACTTCCACTAAACAACCATGTTTACCAATTTCATTAAATGAATCTTTCAGTGTTACATAGATTTTTTACAACTAGAACCATTTAAGTATTTCAATGAAACTATAAAATTATAACCAGTTTCATCAATTAGATCTTTTGTTATACAGATTCATGAATACCTAGGATCATCAAAACCAAGTTTATTTCCCTAGAAGTAAAGGATTACACAACACATTGTCTTCACATTATTTATCTAAAAACATCAAAATCCAACATGAAGCCATTCTTCAAATTCACTCCTCAGTCCTCACTGTTGCCAACATTGCTCTCTGTCATATATGCTCGAATAATAATCTCACTATCTCTCATCTTGTCTACAATCACATTTGAACCAACATATTGAATACAGAGATTGACAATTCTAGTGTAACCAATAGATCACTAATATCAAACATAACTAACAAAACTTACTTCATATTGCACTAGCACAGTAGCAACACTCAAGTATCAGTGTGACTATAATTTTAGTCTTTTAGACAAGTGTCAATCAGCACAATGTCTGATCAAATATGCTAGTACATCGTTATTCCTTCCTCCCATTTAATCAACATTCTATAAGAACAAATTTTGTTGTATTGCCTACCTTCTATTTATTGTATAAAGTTGTTCCTTGTCTTTTTATGATATCAGTATAAATAGCCACCACATTTAATTTTCAATAATATGCACACAGCAAGTACATTAAAAAACAAATTTCTTTATTTCCTATTTCATTATATCTTAAAAACTAAAAATATGAATCAAATGAGCAAACCTAACCCATGCTTGATTTAGTGCTACAGAAAGACTGAAAATACCAGCTTTCATGGAGAAAGTATTATATGTTATTCAAAGCAGTAGATATATCCAAAAACTTGACATAATACACCAGCCAGCATGAAACTGGCTACAATTATGAGCTGGACAATTTATGATTAGACGTAACGGCCATCAAGAAATTGGTATTGATAGGCACAAAATGAAGGGAAAACTAACTTAAAGAAACTGTTATACATTAATGTCGAGGATCAAGCCTCACCGATGGTAGGGATTGTCGTGACAATTTCTCCAAGCTTGAGTTTGTAAAGTATGGTAGTCTTACCAGCAGCATCAAGACCTACCATAAGAATGCGTATCTCTTTCTTGGCAAGCCTGCTTAACAGCTTTGTGAAGGTCAGCCCCATCTCTGCTTCACTCCAGCTATTGGCTTATCGCTCGGCGCTGACATATTGAAGTTCAGGGCGAAAAAAACAGCTAATCAATACAATATACAAATATAAACATTGGCACTCCTTACACCAAATAATTTAACAGATCAGAACGGCCCGCAGCAGCCACCATCATTGTTGCAGTAAAATAGGAGAAATTGGGTCAATACAACAGCTACAGTTTGGTGTAAGCGTCAACAGGTACATGATCAGAACAAAATCTATCTAAAAACTATGAACACCTCTACATCTAAAAAACTAAAGGGTTGATTGAATCGGAATACTAGGGCTTAATCATCGAGAGTAGGCAATTCAATCATCAAACCCTAAAACAAACATCCAATCCCATTTACGGAGCTTATTAACCTTCAAATATCATTAAAACCGTTCCACTGAAAATTCAATTCAATTCAATTCAAAAATAGTGTTCATCAGATCTATTCGGATTCAATCCAAATCCTGGTATTTCATTCACCACCGAAATCAAGTGAAAATCAGATCGAACCAGGTAAGGATCCAAAACGGCGAATCTAAATATGAGACTAAGAACTATTATTGAATCAATATGCGTATCTATGTATCCATACAGGGATCGAATTGAATTATATGCCATAGATCGTACCTGTTGAGTCGACTGAGATCTACAATATATTCACATATACAAATCAAACATCTAAACAATATATATGGGTTTGGATCGAAGTGACTCACCGCTCGAAAGTTCCACAGAAAGTCGAATGAAATAAGAGTGCAGATAGAGACATCGAGATGCCATTTTGGGGGTCTCTCTCTCTCTCTCTCTCTGTTTTAAATGACCCCGATTATAAAAATGCTTTTTTATTTAAATGAAATTACACTGTTACCGCTATATTTCTTTGAAATTACATTATTAGTATTCCCATTATTCTTAACTTGTTTGGTTTTGATTTTCATAAAATATTTTTTCTAAAAATTTAATTTTTTTATTTTCTATATATTTTATATTTTCAATGAATTTTTTAATATTTTTAGTAATTTTTTTAAAATTTTTAGACACACCTAACATAAATATATTTAAAAAGTATAATATTTATAAAAAAAAAATTATTCCAAAAATTCACTAAATACTAAAAATACAAAAAAAAAAAAATCAATATATTTTTCATATTTTTGTATATTTATTAATTTTTTAAAATATTTTTCACAAATATTTTATTATTTAGATACATTCTCGTTTGAGAACAAGTTATTTTAGTAACTTTTAAATTTTTTACTAAAAAATGTACAAAAAAGTAGAGAGAGTGATGTGATAACTTATAGTGACTTTTTGACTTTTTACCTAAAATAGCTACTCCCTAAACGTGGCCTAAGGGTTCGTTTGGGAAGTGGATTGGTTTTTTGATTTTTTGGCATTTTAGTTATTTTAGCCTAGAGCTAAAAAGTCTCATTTAGGAAGGACTTTTTGATTTTTTTGACTTTTTATGAAATAAATAATGTAATGATTATAAGTTGGATGTGATATTTTGTTTTATTATTGGGTTAAAAAACTTATTTTGTCTTCTTGTAGCTAAAATAGCCCCAAACTCAACCCAACCCTTCTTTCAAACGAAACCTAAATAAGGTACATCTAAAAAAGTAAAAAAATTACTTAAAATTTAAAAAATATTCGCTAAAAAAAACACTCAATTTTAAAAAAAAAATTAAATTAAAAAAACTAAAACTAAAACTAAATTTAAAAAATAATAATTGTGAGAGTTAGGTCTATTATCCCTTATTGGACCATCAATTAATGGGGGTGATGATTAGTAATCTGAAAGTATAGTCACCATAATAATGATGGAAAATATAAAATATTAATTATTTGTGTTGAATAATTAAAAAATATACAAAGTATAATGAATGATAATTTGTAAGAGAATATGACATACAATATTTTGTAACTATTGTATAATTTTGTGAATTAATCAAACATAAATCGATGGGAAATCATAAATAAGGCGTGAAGTATATAATTTTGTGAATTAACCAAACATAAATTGATGGGAAATCATAAATAAGACGTGAAGTATCAAAATTATCATTACATACATGTTATCTCTTGAGGCGGGTATTGCCTTTATTTTATTTGTCATCGTTTCTCTTTCATAATAGCCGTAATAACAAGACATTGCATTACAAAAAAGAGAATAAAAAGGTACCCAACAAAAAAGAAAAATAGAAGTGATTCAAACTACTAAAAAAACACATTATTAAAGACTCTAATGAGCTGAAAAATGTGTTAAAAAAAAAAAAAAAAACCATCACATCAAGAATGAGCCATCTCATTGGTGTTCCCAAACATTAATCAAAGAAAAAACATCATAGTTATGATGCTATGCCTTTGTTTGGCAACTTGGATTAGGTTGGATTTAGGACTATTTTAATCATAAAAAAATAAAATAAATTTTTTAATTTAATAAGACAAAATATAACATTTAACTCATAATCATTACATTATTTTTCTCACAAAAAATCAAAAAAGTCAAAAAATCTATTACAAACGAAATTTTTTAACCCGAAGTTAAAATAACTAAAAAATAAAAAAATCAACCCACTACCCAAACCAACGGATAAAATTTAAGGTATACCCAATTCTAATGCACATAGTCGCCATATCACAATTACTACCATAATGACAACGTGCAACCATTTCTTTCAATTTCCGATTCTTGTCCCTCCCTCATCTCATATCCTTTATAGTTTGAATCACTTTTTCTTCACCTTTATTATTTTTTTTTTCCCTCAAAATTATCATACAGCAAAATTCATCTCATTTGTTTTAAAACAATTTTTTTTAACCACTATATTTTCATCATAAACCAATCAACGTCAAAATTTATTGAAATATGAATTACAACAACAACAACAAAATGATAGATAACAATTCTCTATTCGTCCAAATATTCATCTTGTCATTAATAAAAAAGCTAAGTTTGTCAAATATTGAATAATTTTATTGTCGATAATTGGATGCTTGCATAGATATTTGAGAAGATAGTTAAAAGTTAATTTTTTTTTATTTTTTTACTTTTTTCTGAGAGAGAAAATGGGTTAAGAGCTGGGAAGTGACTTTTAACCAACTTTCCAAAATAGGCTTTTGTACCCCCGAAAAAGTAAGTATTTTCAAGTTTGCACTATATTTTTCACCAATATACATTGTTATTATTATGCAAATTACAGCGATCCCGGTTTTGACCCGACCTTTGTTACATTTTGGGACTCGGGTTTCGTGGTTTAATATTGTATCTGTGTCTTATTTTTCTCATTTTACTCTTTGAATTTGAGTTTTGGAGCATGTTGTGTGTGTTTGGAACAGGTTGGTTGTTAGTTTGTCTAGATTGGTGTTGCCCAGATTTTGGCTTCTTCGCTCGAACGAGGCTTCTTGCGCTCGAGCGAGCCTGGTAAAATTGCTTCTTCGCTCGAGCTAAGTTTCTTAGCTCGAGCGAGATTAGAGAGTCCTCAGGTTTCTTTTCCAGACGTAGAATTTCTGGGAAGGTGAAGCTCTTCGCTCAGGCGAGGATTCTTGCGCTCGAACGAGCGAGCGCGTGCGTTTGAAAAATTTCTGAAGCTATACATTCTGCGCTCGAACGAGGTCACTCGTTGTGTCTGATCGCTCAAGCGAAGGTCGCGTATATCAGTTCGCAACGACTCATTTTACATAGAAATTTTGCACCTTTTTGCCCCAATGTTAATCATATTATTTAATTTTGATGATGTCTAAAAGATTATTTGAAAAATTCAGATTTTTTTATATACATATTCTATATTATTTGACACAAAATATTATCTTTTTAAAATATAGGTTGTATGATATATTTGATAAAAATATTATTTAAATGGAAATATTTTTAAAATATCACTATTCACTTTTTGACAAATTTAAAATTGATTAATTGTATTATTTTGACAAAATTGATTGATTAGTTGGCTGGTCACTATTCACTTTTTGATAAAATTAAAATTGATTAATTTTTTTTGACAAATGTGATATTAATGAATTATTCCTTTTTGATATACTCACATAGGATGATTGGTTATTTTTATTTTATTTGAGCGTATTTATAATCTCTTCAACAATTACAAAACTTTTAAGAGGGGTATATATATATATTTTATCTGATATGTATATATATATGAGTGTGAATTGAATTTTATACTCAAAATTATGATGACTTGCCTGCAAAAGTAGACAAACAAAATGTGTAATGTTTGACAAAGAAAAAAGTGGACAAAGAAAATGTGTAAAAGTTGGACAAAGGAAAAGTGGACTAAGAAAAAAAGGATATGCTGTCGAGGAGCGTCTTCTCTTCCGACCAGTATATTTTTTGGTATAAATAGAAGTATTGTGTATGGAGAAAAATCAAGAACTTGAAGAGAAAAAATTTCTGTGTGCTTCAAAATTTTGAGTATATTATATTCTGCTCTTTCACTTTCAGATCTAAGTATACCCTTTATTCTTACACTTTCATATCTACTTTTTGTGAGAGAATTATTGAAAAAGAGGGTTTAAGTACCACTTATTTTTATTCATTATTTTTGTGAGAGATTTTTGTAAGGGTGAGGCATTTATTGTTGAGTGGGGCTCAATAGATAAGAGTAAGTCCTGTGCCAAATCCACAAGCTTGGTGGTGTATTTATTTAGTTGATAGTAAAGAAATTCTCAAGGAAGTTCCTTGGGGAGTGGACGTAGGCCTGGCGTGCCGAACCACTATAAATCTCAGTTTTTGATTTTCTCTCCTTATCTCTCTTACTTTTATATTAATAATTATTATTCTATTTTTTTTGTTTGTTAAATTTTTGAATATTGTGTTAATTTTAATATTGTAAATTTTTTTTAATAACCCAATTCACCCCCCTCTTGGGTTGCCTACTTGGGATAACAATTAGTATCAGAGCTTAGACTCTAGTTTGTGTGACTTAACCGTCTTAGAGTAGATCATGGCAATCCCTAGTTATTTCTTACCTGAGGGACAAGCATCCAATAGGCCACCACTATTTAGCGGCACAAATTTTAGCTATTGGAAAACAATGATGACCATGCATGTTCAATCTAATGATTATGAATGCTGAAAAATTATTTGTAATGGTCCAAAAATTCCTACCAAAATCGTAGATGGACTTAAGGTACCAAAACCTGAAGATGAGTGGAATGAATTAGATACTAGAATGGCCCAAATTAATGTTAAAGCCACAAACATGTTGTATTGCCCCTTAGATGCCAACGAGTTCAACAGAATTTCCACATGTAAAACCACAAAAGATATTTGGGATAAACTTATAGTGACTTATGAGGGAACCGAACAAGTTAAAGAATCTAGAGTCAATTTGCTAGCTCATAATTATGAACTCTTTAAAATGAAGCCTGATAAAACTATTCCTCAAATGTTTACTCGATTTACTGATATTATCAATGGTTTAACTTCACTTGGAAAAATATATACTAATGCTAAAGCTGTAAGAAAAGTGCTTAGGTCATTGCCAAAAAGTTGGGCGACAAAAGTCATTGCCATTACCGAAGCCAAGGATTTATCAAAGCTAAGTCTAGATGAGTTAATGGGATCTCTTTTAACTCATGAGCTCATAATGCAAGAAGGAAAAAAAAGAGGAGGACAACAACAAAAAGAAAGAAATAGCCTTCAAATCCACCTTGAAACATCAAGAGGATGAGGAAGATGATTCGGATGATGATAAAGAAATGGCATTCATCACTAGGAAGTTCAAAAGGTTTGTGAAAAAGAAACAAGGTATGCAAAAAATTTTCAGGCAAGATTTCATTAATAAGGATTTTTAA